TACTGAAAATCAACTTCAATCTGTGCAAATGTACTACATTAAACCAGTAACAGACAATAGGCTTGTGAATATTTAGCGCGATGATGAAATCGGCCGCAGTCCTTTCTGTGGGAAAGGAGAGAAACACAATCTAGGATGTGCTGGTACTCCTCCTTGGAGTGTGTCTGTTGTGATTTGTGATTGCTAGCTGGTTTCCCCAGATCGTTGCTGAATATTATGCCATTAAACAGTATGAAAGAAAATCAAAATATATGTTTACAGGGTACTAAATAGTAAGTGCCCTTTCAAATGCTCTTTAATGGCTAGGCTTTAAAGTCATCATGGAGTACCCTCAGAAAGTGAGAGCAGCATGTTTCGCAGATTTCTGTGGCTGTAAACCACCATGAGGTGCTGAATGAAAGCACACTGAGATTTAAGGACTCCCAACGCTCTGTACCCTTAAAGGCATATTCAGCAAGGGAAAACAGCTCTCTGCCACATATACTCTTGAATTTGTAGTTTTAATTGAAAAATTGGTGACATCTCAGATGTATTTTCCCAGAATTTGAGTGACAATCAACATCTGGCTCAACTTAATATTGGGTATACCTTCTGGGTCAACCAGGGAAGGAATATACATTTGGACTGGTGAGTTAGAGGGAGCAGTGGCTAAATACAACAAAATACTTGCAGTGTGAAAATATATTAGGAGCTTTTATAGACTAAGTACAGTTCTTACAGTATTCTGCTGGTTGTGTTTGTATTTGTTATGTTAAATTTAATAGTACTCCATTTTATAAACAGACATAGGCCAGGGTAGCAGAATTGGAAGTGCAGAAATAGACCAGAAACATAATAGACCTTAGCATCTGGTAAAGGGAGCATCTCAACTCAGTGAGGGAAAAAGATGGCTTATTCTATAACTGGTAATAGGATAACTGGGTGGCCATCTGGAAAAATCTAAAGTTGGATCTGTAGCTCATACCCTACTCATGGATAAAATTTTAAATATTAATATTAAATATAAAAAAGGGAAACAAAACAAGTACTACAAAAAAGTATGGGAGGGTTTCTTTACATCCTTATGGGGATGGGAGAAAAAAGACAGCAGTCACAAGAGATTTGTATGACTATGTAAACATCAGAACTTCTGCATGAAAAGAGAAAAACTTCATATGCAAAGAGGAAAGATAGATGACAAGTTGGGAAAGATATTTGCAACTCATAACAACACAGGGTAAATTTCCCCAATACATAAAAAGCTCATAGAAATCAATAAGAAAAAAAAATCAACACCCTAAAAGAAATATGGGCAAAGTATCTAAAGAGAAGATTAATAGGATAAAAATACAGCAGACTCGAAAACATGAAAAAAATGTGACCTCATTTATAACAGAAATTTAAATTAAAATTGTACAGTGGTACTATTTTTACCTATCAGATTAGCAGAATTTCATATATTACCTGTGTTGGCAGGGTATGGGGAAACAGGTACTTTTGTACACTGTTGATAGAGTGTTGATTGGAGCAGGTCCTACAGAGGGCAATTTGACAATTTTCACTAAATTTATAAATGCAAATATAACTTTAAATCTAGAAATTTCACTTCTGAGACTGTATTTTTCATATATGTTTACCTACACAAAAAATGACAAATATACAAGGCTATTTGTTATAACAACTTAAATGTTCATCCATAGCAATTGATTAAATAAATTATGGTATATGCATATGATGAAATACTATACTATTTTAAAAAAAGAAGGAGGGGGAAGATCTCTGTTCTGAAATGGAAAGATATCCAAATATAGTGTTAAGTGAAAAATGTAGAACAGTGTGAATAGCATGCTACCCATTTGGGTATGCAAGAGGTAATGTAAGAATCTCTGTAAGTGTTGTCTAATATTTGCATAAAGAAATTCTGGAAAACTACAACAGAACCTAACAATAGTGGTTATTTGGGGAGAATTAAAAAGAAGTAGGTAGATAGATTTCAGGGTTAGAAGGGAAACTTTTCAAAGAAAATAATTAAATGAAACAGTTAAATAAAAATTAAATTAAATAATTACAAAACCAACTAAAACAAACAAATGAAAAAGTTGAGAGTGGAAAAAAATTATACCAGTACTGAGAGTAATTGCTGATTAGGGCTGGTATGCTACCAATGCAATGAGGAAAGAAGATTAAGAGCAGCGTTTTATAGGAACTGTTATTAATTTGGTCCATGTTTGTGGTATATCCCTTCATTTTTCATATAGCTATGCTGTATCTCTCCATTTCTGACTAAAAGATCTGGAAAATTAAAAATTGAAGAATGATCAGAGATATTTTGGTTAGCTTCAAAAACATTTTTTACCACTTGAACAAAAAGTCCTCCTTTGTAGTCAGCTCTAATCTTTAAAAAATCAGTTCCACATTCCCAGAGTAGAAACTGGCCCTAACACTGTCTTATCACCAAAAGAAAATAGGCCGACTCTTTATTCTGCTTCAGTTCTAACTTCAGATGTGCTATCTTTGGGTTAAACAGAACATCAGGTTAAAGTAGCAAAGCTTTGAGAATCAAAGAGTTGATGCTACAATTGTATAGTTAAAAACTATATTTATTCTAAATTGCAAAATGGTAGGTATTGTATGTAATGTTTAAGTTGCAGCAATTGTTCTAGTAATAAATGTAATATTCAGCAGCATTTTTCATAGATTACTCAGTTCATCATTAGTGCCATTTTGCCTCTTCATAATAATGTGCACTTTCCTTTAGAAAGAGCTTGGTTATTTCTTTGGTTGGGCCTATTTGCTCCTTTTTTATGTGAGATTTTTCAATGCTATGAAATGATGCAGAGCAAAAAAGGTCCATCCACTTCACTTGTGTTGCCTCCTGCGTTACCTAAACCACAACAGAACAATGACAGACAACAGAGCCTTTCTCCTCTCTAACAATTCAGTCACCATGACAACCAGCAGAAGAACGTTGGGCCAGAAAAAAGCACTGAGCTTGAGGGACTAGACTAATCAAAAAATGGAATAACATGGCAACAATTACGCTGATGAGTGAGAGGGAAGCCGCAGATGCAGCCCGGGACCTACGGCACCGCAGGCTTACCGCAGTCGGCATTCTGTGTTTAGTGTCTTCTGGTTTTGAGAGCAGGTAAATAGACAAGATCGAATTGTGTAACAGAATGTCAGTGCTCTAGTTAAATAGAAAATTCCTTTCCTTTGGCTGTGCTACTTCAAGCGCATTGAAGAGGGTTTAGGGGAGATGAGGTTTTGAAGTGAAATGTGTAATAGATACAATATGAGTGCCACAAGGCAACATTATTTAGTTTAAAAAAGTAAACTTGGACATGTTCCCCCACCTTTTTTCAAATATATAGGCACAAATAAAGGGAGAATGCTGCTGGGTTAGTGGTCGACACTATCTTCAATCCTTCTTATCAGGAACATATATGACTCACTGTCTTAACATCCTTCTGGGGCATATTGATTCCTACTGTCAAAATCAAGCACCATGATTTTTGCAGTATCAGTTCTGATGTCCAGATCAAATGTAGCTAAAACGGGCATGATAGTTCTGTGGGTTAGATAACAGGAGGATGGGAGCATATCTGCTCCCTTCCTGCCTCACAACTGTCTCAGGTTACCCCTTCAGAATTCTCTCCATCCTTGAAGAGGTTCACATAATGTGTATGTGTATTTTTAAGTGGCATTTAGATGGGCATCACCTCTTGATTGCAGATAGAGTTGTTGGGTTGTAAATAGGTTTTACGTACTGACCTCTGCCTCAATTTCTCTGGTTAGATTTTTCTCATAATTTTTGTACTTCTCTATGTGCTGTGCTTAATTTGGTAAATATTTTTAATGAATCAATTTTCTGGTTTCAATTTATCAAAGGCAAGTTTTACTACTCTTCCTCTAAACAGAAGAATTTTAATTAGAAGTATTTTATTAAATCATAAACAGGAACCAATAACCCCCTTTCAAAAAAAAAAAGGTTTGAAACATTGTCATTTTGAAGAGAAATTGGAGGTGAGGAGGAAGAAAACCTAACTTTTGAAGTTGTCCCGCTTAAATTATTTGTGTTGGGCTGGGATTGTAAGGCTCCAGGCTACAGATTTTGAGCTAGAACTTCTTTACAGTCTTTATAGACTATAACATCTCCTGTTACCTATTCTATAACTTGGTATATTTTCTTAGTCTATTTATTTAGTGTTAGTGTATTTACTTAGTCTATTTCTTAGTATATTTTCTTCTGGGACTCAATTTACATATCTAAAATGGGCTGCCTTTTTTTTTACTCTGTACTATTTTTTTTTTTAAGTAGCTGGCTGAGAAGAGAGGAGGCAGTGTATTGAGTTTACTTTGAGCCTATAAGTAAACGCTTATTAATGATGAGAATTTTCTATACCAATGCAGGAGTTATTCTCTTTATTTTGGTCTTTGTGAAGCCGAAGTGTCTAGGTAGAAAATGTTCATTGGAAAGATGATTGTAGATTGTTTTTCCTGGGTTAATTTTCCTGTTGCTCAGGTAGGAGGAATAGCATAGTTAGAATGATTTTAGCCACTTTCAAAGTGTTCATTTAGTCATAGTTTACTTCTCAAAAAGAATTTGAGACAAATTACCGAAGAAGTGCAGCTCAATAAAACGGTCTCATTAAGAGAAGCTGAAAGCTACAAACAAATATGCAATGATAGCTGAAGAAAAATTTATATCAATAAATCCTCACACAAAAAAGGTGTCCCATTTCTAGATCTGTGCTTTCCAACAGGCAAAGAAAGAAACTACAAATTACAGATCCTCCTTGGCTAATCATTAAACTCATGTTAGTTCTTCAAGACAAATAACCTTTTTCTGTCCCTGAACTCCTGTAGGTGGAATGTGTCCTGGGCAGTGGCGTATGGGAGGCAGCCCGTGCGTTGTCACGGAGAAGCTGGCTTTGCAGAATTGGGGACAGCCCCTCTAGAGGAGGGTTGGTCCTCCTGCCTCTGGCTGATGCGCATTCTGAGCCAGGAGCAAAGTAGAGTCATTCTTTTTCCTCTGTAATCAGGGAGGGATCAGGAAAGAGGAAAGGGAAAAGAAACTCTTCTGGGCCTAAAGAAAAGATCCACATTCCCTGAAAGTAAGTCCAAACAGCTTATCTGGAAACCAGCATGTAGAGGTGGACTTGAATTTGCTAAAGAGGTTTTTTGGCCAAATCCTTCTTGCTTTAAAAGTAAAGAAAACAGCCAGTGAGTGACTGGGTGTTCAGCAGAGTCTCATCAGCTATGGTGCAGCTCCCGTGAAGAAGGCCAAGTTGAGCTGCTGCCAGATTTCATGCCAAATTCACATGAAAAATGAGGATTTTCTATGAGATTATTGTGAAAAGGTGAGAAAACAACTAAATTGGCTTTGTAGGATATAAACAGTGATATCTTGAGTAGATCACACTTTACAAAAGCTAGATCTTATTTTAGACAATGTAAGCATGATCATTCTTTTTATACAGTCTCTGATATTTACTATACTGCAAAGAAAATCTGCTTATCTGTTTTAACACCCTTCTCTGAGTTGCCAGATAAAAGGCCACAGCAATCGGAATAAATTTATCTTTAAAATGTTTCTATTTTGCTTGGTGACAATGCCATTTCCACTGAGGACTTCTCTAGTATGTATTTTTTTTTCCTATGGATGAATCAGGAATCAAAAAGGACTTTCACTCTGCCTCAGGAGAACAATATGGGCATGCAAACACGGAGCCTGGCATTGCATTAAGCTCTGAAAATGCTTTAGGGAACCAGTGGTGCCGTGCACATGCATCAAAGCAAGAGTCTTTATATTCTAGGAAATTCATCACAGCATGACAATTTGTGCAGGGCTCCTGAATGTGGTTTGTTCCTTCTAGTTCTCCCTCTTTTATTTTCCTTCAGGGGCTTCAGACAGTCTGGAATAGGTCCTAAGGAGAGGAATTCACTGCGATTTCAGATTTAGGGAAAAAGCAGCCCACTGGCTTAGTTCACCTTCCTCTATCCCATGCCTCTATTGCAGGATAATGAGGCCTGCACTTATGTGGTGTCTACACTGTGCAGGCACCAGGTGAGTCACTTCACTCACATCATTGCCAACCCTCACTGCAGCTCTATCAAATCAAGTATTTTTGTCCTGCCTGAATTCATGTATTGATCTGGCACTCATTCAACACAGTTTTGTAGGACCTATGCTACAGGCTGGCAGACTTAGTTGTAGATGTTGAGGACCCAGCAATAGATAAGATATTCTCCCTGCACAGAAATGGGAAAACCAGTAAAAAAAAAAAAAAGGGACCTTGCTGAGGGAGGAGTAGAACCAGGATGTGAAGCCATTTGTATAACTCTGAAGCTCTTGTCATTTCCTCCACACCATGCTGCTTCACTTAACTAGCTCCTGTCTTCTAATTTGTGGGTTTCCTGAGGTTAAGTACATTGATTTGGAGCTCAAGGCAAAGCTGGCCACATTTTAGAAGGATGATCTTGGGGAAATTATTTAACCTCTCTAGCCTCAACAACTTTATCTGTAAAACAGGAATTCTAATACCAATCCCATAATTATACTCTGAAGCTTAAAGGAGATTTTGTGTATAAAGTCTTCAGCACTGTACCAGTACATAATAAGTGCTCAGTAAATGTAAAATATGATTATCACCTTTACTATGGCTTTCTTTTACAGAGCAACCTCTGGAGCTGTTTGCTTTCACCTAGAATTAAAGTCTCTTCCCTTCTTTCCCTGACTGGCTTTGACGGATGGCCTGTCAGAGTTTTTGTTCTGACCTAAGGTGACACTTGTCGTAATTTGCTGTTTACACTAGGGTTCTACAAGGACAAAGATAGAGAAATGTCTCAGTGCTCAGGAGCACATGTATGACCTGATATAATATTATCAGGAAGAGAAGCCCTAATAGAAGGACTCTGAGTGCTTGAGTTTCAGCATCTCTTGATTCCCAAGACTCACGGGAGTGAATTACGGCCCTCTATCTATGTCCATCTTCTGCTTTAGACTGGTGAATACATCAAGGAAATGACATGATTTAACTCATTTTCATCATCTTAGTGTCTGTCATAATGCTTAGCCTACAGTAAGTGCTCATTAAATATTATGGAATAAATGAAAAGTGACTACAAAAGTTCCATTTATTTGTTTGTTGCTTTAAAATGGATACATTTCTGGATTTCAAAAGGACCAGTAAAACATATGCCAAAATGTAATGTGGAACAATGGTTTTCTCTGGATACTGGGGTTTAGAGGTGATACTTTTCTTTGTGCTTTTAGAATTTGGTGGGTTAGTAATATTAAAGCAATTGAGATTATCAAGAAAAGATCTTTGGACTATATACTTATGGGGTAGAGGAGTTTGGTGTTTCTAGACCCAAAAAGGTGACATGATGAGAACTGGAGCCTCCAGAAATTCTGAGTGATGGTGGAATACAGCATCGTCCTTGCTCTCCTCTTCCCGTGCATTGAGCAGACCACAGTTAGTAAGCCTTTGTAGTTCAAATTATGTCACTCTTTCATGGAGCTCTCAGCTCTTTGAAGCTGCTGTTGCATTCAGCCTTCCAGTTAGGGGGCTAGCATGACCAATCCCACTGGACAGGGGTCAGAAAGATGATGCATTTGAACCCAGGTTTAAGGTACCATACTCTGCTCTCCTATAGTCTAACCTTCTATACCATCGCTCAGAGCCAGGATGCCTAAGTAAATATTTAGTTTACAAGCAATGTCATACATTAATGGCATTCTTCTTCTTTTCCTCCTTTGTGACTGACTGTCTCATAACTGGTTGTTTTCAGCAATGATCTACATACTCTTATCTCTTCATAATTATATGGGACATGAAGGTGTGTTTTGTAGACTCTAAGTTCTTTTGCTGCCAGAGTGGACTGAGATGTTGCTTTAAAGGTTATGAGTCACTGAAGAATGAGTTCAAGTCAATTCTTCCCCTTTTAACCCCACAGGTTATTTTGAAAAGTGGGCAGTCTCATTTGGATCTACACAAGTGTGCCCCTCGTGCAGGCTCAATGACAGGCCAGTAGGTTATTTGTCTTTTTGGAGATCACAGGCACAGGCTCACCCTCTTGGGCCACCACAAGGCTTTCTTTGACCAGAACTAACTGTTGAGAAGGCAGTACCCCAGTTTGGGAAGAAGTAAGTGGGTCTAACAGGTATGAGGAATTTATTGACTGAGTTAGTCTCAACTGGATTTTATATATCTCTTTTAAAATAATTATTAGTGGTAGCATGAACTAGATTCTCCCAAACATACAGTTTATTATTTGGCAGTAAGGCAGTAGGGGGAGATAAGTTAATCAAATAAGTCTCTGCTAATACGTGAGCCAACTAATGTATCATCTTTCCCAGGAGCATGCTTTTGCTTAGTTAGCTTGTGCCTGTTTCTAAGTTATCATTAGATCATCAAGGAGTGATGCTGAAAGTGGACTTCCAAGTCCCTGAAGGTATCTTTGGTCAGAAGGTATTTTGGGAGGCACTAATTCTCATCCTAGCAGGGACTTCCTAATATAGCTTCTTGCCTGACATCAGGAAATCATCTTTTCAGGCAGGCCTTCAAAAAGTCCAGAGTCAAGCCCCTTGTTACTTCAGATAACTTTAAAATACATTCTAGAAAGTGTTTTTTTCTTCTATTATGGGAATAATTGAGTTTGGTTACTTCATAGGCTCTTTGGAAGTTTTGGTAGTGTGATGAGTTGAAGGTGATCCCCCAAAGGTTTTATCTACTCAGAACTTCAGAATGTGACCTTACTTGGAATAAATGTCTTTGCAGAGTTATGGTAGGGACCTCAAAATAAGATTGTTCTGGGTTATCCAGGTGAGCCCTAAACTCAATGACAAGTGTCCTTATAAAAGACAGAAGAGGGGAAAACAGCAACACAGAGGATGCATGTGAAGACAGAGACAAGAGATTGGAGTTTTGTTGTGGCAAGCCAAGGAATGCCTGGAGCCACTAGAAACTGATAGAGGCAAGGAAGAATTCTCCCCTGGTTCCTTCATAGGAAGCCCAGCCCTGCTCATACCTTGATTTCAGGTTTCTGGCCTCCAGAAATCATTGAGTAAATAAATTTCTGTTGTTTGAAGCCACACAGCTTGTGGTAGTTTGTTAGGGCAGCCCTAGGAAACTAATGCAGGTACATGCTTTGAAGTTAATGACCACAAGCATTCAAAAGGGTGGCAGAATGATTTGTAAGTGTCTATCACGTAGCATCATTTTCTGAGGGGTCTGGATTTAATTGGTCTGCTAGGGTTATATCATATTATGTTGGCACCTGAGGAAACATAAGTATTTTTTAATCCACTCTGGAGAAGACCCAAAGTTATGCAGTTGGCATTTTTTTGGTAAAGGATTGATTATGAATGCAATACATTCTTTATGCATTTTTTAAATAAGTAAACAAATAGTTCCTAAGACCTGTTCACTGGGAGTTCAATTTCTTAAAGAACCTGAAACAAGGGACACCAAAGGTGTGAACAATAATTAACTCCTGATTGCAATGTACAGCCAAGAAGTCCTGTTATCAGTTCTCCAAATCTCTAAGAGATTAAACATTTGATTAAACATATTTCAGCAAAAGAAATTACTGAAATGACTTTGAAATATTTTAGTCATGTAGCTGTATATTTACCATCTATGCAATGAAATAGTATCCTGTACTCTGCTCATTTGTTTTTGTGCTTAAAGGAACTGGGCTTCTACATCTATTCATTCCACCCTTTATTGATCAACAAGGAAATGATTCAATTCAAGAAATATTTGGCCAGTGCCTACTATGTGCCCTGGACATTATTGGAACTAGGTGGGTTACAACAAAAGTGAAAGGCAAAGACTACAAGTGCTTCCAGGTTAATCAAGGAGGGAGATTGTATAAAACAATCCTTGTGTCAAAGACAACTGCGTTACCCAAGAGAGAGACCTGGAGAGACACCCAAATAAGTGTGGCTATATACTGCTGATTTTCCCTTTTCTCTGGCAGCTCCTTCCTGGTTTATTTACCAGGCCTCTAACTCCTCTATCAGTCATTAACTGGAGGTGTTCCACAGATTTGAGCAGAGACCTCTTTTCTTCTCCTTTTATCTCCCTGGGCAATGAAGTCCATAACCACTAATACTTCAGTTACTAACAAGATCCCCAAATATAGATCTTCTGCTCAGAGCTTTCTTCTGAGCACTGGATTGCTACATACAACTAGTTGATATCTTTTGTACATCTCAAAGTTACCTCACACTCAACTTGCCCAAACAAAACTCATGATCTTTGACCTATTGCCTCAGATCTGACCATTTTTCAGTGTTTCTGCATACCTAGGAATGACCAAGACAAAAAGTAAGGAGTTACTTTTGATAATTCCGTCTTCCATACCCTCACCTCTAAACCATCAATTCTGTCAATCTAAACAGAGTCCTATCAATTTTACCTTCTGAATTCTCAGATTCATTTGTTTTTCTTCATTTCTACAGTCACCTCTCTAATATGTTACAAGTTAATCCAGGAGTAGCTTCTCATCACCTTGCCATCTTATTGGCAAGAAGCAAATCACAGGTCCTGCCCACACTGAAGGGCAATAGATTAAAGGCACAGCACCAAGGAACCAAGGTTATGGAGCCATCTTAGAATTCTGCTTATCGTAGATCTCAATTCTAACTCACTTCCTCAGGAAAACCTGCCCCAACCCAAGAACTGGGTCTAGTTCCATTTGTACAGGCTCTCATACATTGTATACCTGTTCCTCATAATATTTATCATAATTATAATTTTAACTTAGTTATATTACTATTTGATTAATATCTATCTCCCCCATTTGTCAGCCTCATGAAGGGCTGTTTGTTCACTGTAGCACCAGGATTAAACATTGGAGAAGCTCAAAACTATTGTTAAATGAATGGACAGACAAGCCATGGAAGCTCTTTTTACTTTGTTGCCTTGATCTCTTATGCATAAATAAGAGAAATTCTAACATCTAGGCTGAGTACTTAATGGGTTGCATCCCACCCTTGCTGCAGGAATGCTGTCCACAATGGACCAATAGAAGTTTCGTTGGAAAAGAAAAAAAAAAGAGAGAGAGAGGCTAAGCTTTTCCCACTATCAGGGAAACAGGCAAATCATAATTTCTCAAAATCCTAACCACAATAAACATCCCAAACTGACAAAAATTTTAAAGGAAGTCAAGGATAGAGTGGTAAGCTGGAATTCCATTAAAAGTTACTGTAACTGATTTATTCTTGTCTTGTTTTTTGGGATTTCAGATTAGCTTGTGTTCAGGGGATCTATGCTAAACCACTGGCAGATGTAAATTGATACAACTGTGTGTCATATGGGAATTACGTATGGCCAGATTCACATTTGAGCAATTTTCGAACACAATCAAACATTTGCTTGGTTATCTGTGAAGTCCTGGATGCGTTTTTCCTTTCCTGAGAATAGTGTTCCCGTTGGTGGCACAATATCACAGGTTCTTCCTGACCTGCCTTGTGACAGTTGTTACAGCCGCCACCTCCGCTATCATCTCTGGCAATTACGTAGCAAGCCTGAAGCAAACACTTCAGGTGTGTTATTGCAATCCTGTAAATATGTAATGCCTACCCTATAATGATGGTTCTCAGATTTTAACTAGTGTCAGAGTCAGCTGGAGGGCTTTAAGACACAGATTGGTGAACCCTGCCCACAGATATTCTGATTGTGTAAATTTGGTGTGGGGCCTGAGAATTTGCATTTTTAGCAAGTTGCAAGGTATGAATATGATGCTGCTGGTCCAGGGAACACTTTCTAAGAACTTCTCTACTCCATGAGATAAGTATTGTCATTCCCCATTTTACTGATAGAGAAACTGAGGCTTAGAGAGGTAAGTAAGGTCACATGACCAGTAAGTTGTGCAGCCAGGATCCAAATCCAAGTCGGTTGGCCCAAAACCACTAGGTAATCAAACATTCTTCTAAGCCCACAATCAAAGGCCTGGGAATGTTGGCATAAGTCAATCTTCAGATAGCTTGAAACATTTTTGACCACATTGGTTTGGTTTAAGTAACTACTCATAGAGACACATTTTAAATGGTTATTTC